AAAATAAAGAAAAAAAAAATTTTTTCAAAAAAAAAAAAATTAAAAAAAAAATTATTTTTTAAAAAAAAAATTTTTTTCAAAAAAAGTAATTTTTTGTCCAATTTATAGTTTCTCAAAAATCTTATTTTTTCAAAGTAATTTTTTTTCAAAAATGTTGATCGTTTTAAAAAATAATATTTTGGTACGGGAAGTTCCAGCAATTTGCCTTAAGGCACGATGCCCTAATTGCCTTAAGACAGAATTCCACTTACAGCTAGTTTGTATTTTTTTTAATTGTAGCCGCATACATACACACACTCATCCATTTTTTCTAAGGTATGCCAAAATGTTCAGAAACCCTCCAAAACGTAAAGATATGCAAAAATTTTCATATTCGATATTTTTGCGATTTCTATGACTTAACGAGATGTTAATTAAAATGAAAAAAGTTTATATGACACAATATTTTTTTGCTTCTAAATTTCCATTTTCACTTGTGGTATTTTATATGAAAATATCTGCAGGTGAGTATATATAATAAACGTCGAGTTGATACGAATATCGGAAATGTAGGTCGATTTTGCATAATCCAATCCATCGTCGGATATCGATGTTATTTCAAGCGATATCGATATTTAAATTTAATATTTGTTACGCGAAAGCGATGAGGAAAAAGATGAAATACTAAGAATCATCGAAAATTTAATTGAAAGAAATTAGAATTTTATATCAAACACTGCTCACAATCGAATTGTGAAAATTTTTCACATTGAAATTCGTTAAAAAGGTTATTTTTTTAGGATCATCTAGAAAATCATTAAAATTAATTTAATTTATTTTTTCCTATATTTTATGTAACATTATATTTAGTGTGTCTAGTTTATAAAATATTTGCAGGTGCACTTTTGTAGTTGTAAATTATTTTCATCATGGATGTGTGCACAATTGAGACCTAAATCGTTATAAGACCAAAAAGTAAATATTTTTTTTTAATCATTTTAAGATATTGTTAAAATACAAAAATGTTATAGATACAAAATTAAGAGAAAATTCTAAAACATTCGCCTTTGTAAGATAAAATTTAAGAGATAATTATATGAATATATAAATCTACATAATAATTAAAACTATACTAATTTTGTAGATACGACACTCTACACAATTTTTGCGTAAAATACTTGAGTAACTTGAATAAAAAATATTAAAATATAATATAATGTGGCTCTTTATAGTGAACAATGAGAATCACTGATCTAACAAGTTCGTTTTTGAAAAATTTCTATCTCCCAGAAGGCAAAGTAGATTCGAAATCAAATTCAGAAGGAACTGCCTCAGAAACTATATACATATACAGTTTCCTTATTCGTTTCCGTGAATTTTTGGCTTTAAAATAAATTTATTCAAAATACTATGTTGAAAAATGCTATAATAATTTAAAGCAAATAAATCATTGGGCTAAGATAACGTTTTCCCAATACATTTTAATTATTTTGTCACCTAATTACAGTAAGATCATCTCAGTTATTTTCATGAGAAACTTTAGTTAGAGTGCGGACTATCTTAAAGTTAATATAAAGAGGTAAAACTTTCGGAGGATTTTTTTTATCACTTGCCAAGCATCTGGGCATCTGGAGCAAAAAATTCGAAAATATCCATAATAAGGACCACCCTAATATATAATTAAACTTGAATCATTTATAAACAAATAGAATTAACAATGAATTAAAAATTTGATGCAATGATTTTTTATACTGTCAAAAATTTTTGCTGTTTGTGAGAGCCCTCAAACAAAATTTTGATACGGTGCCCCACCAAAGTGCACGCTACGCCCTTGTATTTGCTTTCTAATTAATTTAGGGTTGTATAATATCAAATATTGTGAATGAAATCATAATCAGAAACAATAAATATCAACTTTTAGTTTTTTGAATTTGTATAATAATATTCTACATTTATCAAAATTCTACCACTGGGCTTTTTAGGACATACAAGCGACTGCCTATAATGAATACTATTAAAAATATAATAATATCAATTAGAAATCGCATTTATTAATTTTTAGTAAAAACTTAAACATTATTTTCAGAAAAAACAGTTAAAATTTCGGTTGAGTATGTCAATTATTAGTATTAGGAAGTTTGCGCAACTTGCCTTAAGGAAAAATGTCACTTTCAACTAGTTAACTAACTTTCCGTATGATAAGTTATAGTAATCACAAAAAAAATCAAAAATTTAAATTTTTGCATATTTTCACGTTTCAGAGGCTTCTGAACATTTGGCATACCTTAGAAAAAACGAATGTGTGTGTGTATGTTTGAATACAATTTTTCGTCTACGATTTCGAGCACGCAGATCAACCGATTTGAATAATTCAAAAAACATTCGATTCCTATTGATAAGGAGACGTGCTGATTTGTTTTTGGCAAAAGCAGTTCCAAACGTTTCGGAGATACGAAGCAAAGAGAGCTAAAAGTGGTAATTCAATTTTTGAGGCAACGGAGCGCCCGATTTGAACGATTCCAAAAACATTTTACTTGTATTGACAAAATGAAGAACTGGTTAAATTTTTGAGAAGGCAGGTCTAGCGGTTTCGGAGATACAAAAATAAACATCAAAAAAGATATTAGGAAAACAAAAATTATCATTAAACATATGCACATCAAAGTATCAGATATTATATAGAGATTTTAAACATGAATACTAATTTTGTTACAATTTTTTTTGGGCTTCGTATCAAGATTTTTAATTTTTAAAGTTTACTTATACGGTTCAAACAAATTTCAAAATTTTCAGAACTTTTCAAAAATGTTCATTAGTTATGTCTTTTTTATTTGTTGTAATTCACAATTTATACTCTTTTACCTCATAGATCATTTTATTTTTAAGTTTACTCTATATAATCACAAAATTTAAATTTAATATATCAAAATTGAAAAGACTTACTACTGGGTAAGCTTTTAGATCTAATGTTTAATATTTCATATATCATCAAAATTACTGAATGTCTTTCTTTTTGTTAAGACAGATTGTAATTCAATAAAGAGAATAAAAAAAAATAAAAAAAACTTTTAAAAAATATGCAAAGTTTTATTCCTATAAATGTAAATTTTAAATTTATAATTCAGTTTAAATTTTACATTTACAAAAGTATTAAAATGTGTATATTTCATATGCGTTATTGTAATCGTAAGAAATATATCCTCAGATGGGTTCATTCGGCATCTCTTTTTAATGTAAACATTCTTAAGTGTTTTTGAGCGGTAAGATCGTCACTGTGTATTATATGAACGATAAAATATATATATATATATATATATATATATATATATATATATATATATATATATATAGTAATTACAATTATCTCTTTAAAAATATTTAGAACAATTGTTAATCAATATATTTATTAATTATTAATTTTCTTGCTGAATATTTAATTCTGGTAGTAATTTGCCTTAAGGTTGTGAACTTTCTTAGGTGTTTTTGAGCGATAATATCGTCACTGTATATTATATGAACGATAGAATATATAGTAATTATAATTATATCTTTGAAAATATTTAAAGCAATTGTTAATAATCATTGATCAATATTTATTGATGATTAATTTATTTTTGCTCGATTATTGTGGTTCAGCAATTTGCCTTACGACACTATGCCATACACCACTAATTTTAAAATTCGTTCCACACTTTAATCCAACCCGATGATATAGTACCTCTCTCCCATATTCCCTATCTATATATCAATATCTATCGATAAAGCCATAATCGCCTCCATATACCGTTTTCGTTTTCCGGCTTTTCCAAAGGAAATACGAGTTGGTACGTGATGAGAGAGTTTTTCTTAAATATTGATCTCATATCGCCCAATGACAGCTAAAGTGCTTCGGACACTTATTCTCTTCATGTGGGATATGTGAAATCTATAGTCGGGGGCTTATGTAACGTCATAGCAAAAAAAAACCTCTACTTATCACAGATCGTGATAAGTAGAGAAATATATACTGTGGTAATATGAGAGATACTTGTCAATGGTAAAGGACTTGTAAAGGGCAAGGAAATTGACGTGGAAATAAATATTGAAGCTGTGGTTGGTTGGCAATTTGCCTTGGATGAACTTGATATTAACACTTTCGGGACGGCACCGATTTCAAAACAATCTACTTTACCGGCTGTAAACTTGATTTCATTGTGTATGTTATGCAATTTATTTGATAAAAATTTGTGGTCATTGTAGGACATACATTTATAATATTAATTTATTTTTGATCATTTTATAAAAAATGCTGACGTTCCAAACAATTTCCAAAATGCATAGCTGGTTGATTTTGACATGTTTTACAATAAAATGTTGTTCGCCGCCTTCCAGAATATGCCACTGATTAGTCAGTATTTTGTTCATTTTGTGCTGCCATTATGGTTTGTTTTCTCTATTATATTGTCTAATATTCATTTGTAAAATATAAATTAAAAATATCTATTGGATGTCTTGTATTGCTTGTACTTGTAGTCGGGTGCTTTTGATGTATGTCAAAACTCGATTATTGAAGGAGAATCGGCACATTCGCTTATGTCTCCCGCTCTTCATTAATTGGTGTCAACTCTTTTTTTTTTGTTGGTTGGATAATATCATCATCACATTCATCACTATAATAGGTGCGAATAGTAATTTCGTAAATTTGTCTGCTGACTGTCCTATTGAAACTCATCTTCACCACTGCTTATTCACAAAATTTACTAGTCTTTTGTTTGCCATATTTAAAAGCGCTCGGTCGTTTAAATATTAAAAAAAGACCATATAGCAAAAGAAAAAAGCTAAAAATACTACTAAAATAACTTAAAATTATTTCAAAATACAACACTGTTTTTGACTGCTATATGTTTTATACAACTTTGCGATGCAAACTGAGTCATTGTTTATAGAATAGCCTGTGTCTCACAGAGTATGTTTGTCCCACTGAGGTGGACAGCCGTCCCAAAGTATTAACATGAATTTGGTGAAGTATTAGTATTATGTACCTGTAATATCCAGCTGCCGTTCCCCTGGAAGGCGTATCCTGCATGCACTATGTGCCTGTGTTCTGGTGAAGCTGGACAGCAGATTGCGCATACATTGCACCAGGGTATTGGTCTGAGGCTGGATCAGGATCTCGGTCACCAGGTTCTCGGTGGCGTATTGGATCAGTCTCTCTCCTTAAAAAAAATGCATCAATCAGCAAACATTATTAGGAACAAGGTAAAACACTATGAACACAAGGGTGGTCCTTAATATGGAAGTTTTCGAATTTTTTTGCTCCCAGGAGCTTAAATGCTTCCAATTGATAAATACAAATTCTTTGAAATTTTAGCTCTTAATATTAACTTTAAGATAGTCCGCACTCCAATAAAAGTTTCTTGGCTTTTCTTTATAAGTAATACTTATTTTATAAAATATATCAATTTGTGTTGTAATTTTTTTTTGTTTATGATCAAAATAAGTAAATACAATGTTATCGCAAAATTTTGATTCACTTGTGGCTAGTTATAAAATTATAAAAACAAATGGAATTTTATCCATGTTATTTCCTTAAAAAACTTTTGTTGGTTTGCGGACCACCTTAAAGTTGACATTAAGAGCTAAAACTTCCAGAGATTGTTTTTATATGAGTTTGAAAGCATTTGAGCTCTTGGGCGCAAAAAAAATTCATAAATATCCATATTAAGGGCTACTCCTGAAAAAGGTGATGGTTAATTTTTTGATATTAAGAAAAGATTTAAAAAAAAATAAACGTTAAAAATTTTCACACACATATATGAGGATGACTTTATAAGTCTTGATTGATAAAATAATAAATAAAAGTATGAAAAAAAAACTTATAATGAAGGAAGTAAATTCGACAGACAAAATGACAAATGAAGAAGTGCTGAAAAAATTAAAAGAAGAAAGAACTTCTCTGAGCACCTGGATTGTGAAAAGGAAACTGAATTGAATCCATTCTAAAAAAGTGCCTCCTACATGATCTAGTCGAATGTAAAATAGAAAGACTAAACAATTGGGAAGAATGCAGATAATTTATAACCATGTACACAAACTTTTGGTCAGAATGGACGTCATTTATAAATTATTTACAAGTTTTTTTTTAATTAAATATTCTTTACTCCTTTTTATTAACATAGCAGTTCAAGTTCAAGTTATTTCATCAAATGTGGTTTTTCTTCTTTATTGTATTTTCCAAATATTTTGTTTTATCCTCTGAAGAATAATCGTATGGAAGTTATTAAAGAACTATAGAAATATATTTTTTTATTTCTATCATCTGTTGAAAGGCTTTATGTAAGTACTTAATTTTTCTGTATATATGTATAGTTGAAGGCATGTTAAAGATTGTTAAAAGTTGTCCTAAAAGCTAAACTTTACTGATTTTAAAATAGGATCCCAAGAGAGAAAGATAAAGTACGTTTGTACGAACAAGTTTCCATTATTGCATTAATTTAGCGCCCTACATCAACATGAGCTCTAGGCCCCATTGCTTTTAAAAAGTCAAAAGTAAATTTTTTTGGTACAAAATTCTTTCTGATCAAAAAAAGTGACAAAACCGTACCCAGTTTCTCTTTCTGAACCAGAAAGTAAATAATAAATAACAATAATATTTTAAAATTAATCAATACTAATAAAAGAGCAAAATATTAAATAATTATATAACAACACAAATTATATAGATATTTATAACCAGGAAAATATATTTCATAATACTTCCCGATATAATAATCAATAATTACTATCGATTTAAAATATCATTTAATTCTTTAAGTATTGATAATTTATTAATTTAAATTGAACGAGATACTTTATATTATTCAATTACAAAAAATATATCGTAAAAGTATTGTTACATAATTTTGTAGTTAAAATAATAAGGAATTAAATTGGAATTTAATATAATATGAAGTATAAAATTACAAGCATTAGCATTAGAACAAGAAATAGGTAATTTTGTATTATATAATAAGAAAAGGTCACAACTGAAATACCTTAAAAATTCATTTTACAGGATGCATTATTATAAATTGTTCTAAGTATTATGATCTGATTTACGTGAAAACTAAATATTGTACATATTTATTATAAAGATAGACAAATAGGGATTTTAAATTTTAGTTTTTAGGTAATAAATCATTTCTATGTAACATGTTAATTCGCTCTTTGCAATTGTACTTACATTTGTTCAATACATTTTATTAAAATTACTTGCAAAGAGCGAATCAACATGTTGAATAATTTTTTTCCCTAGACAAATAGAAGTTTTAGATTCAGGTTTTCGGTATATCATTTCTATGTGACATGTATGATTCGCACTTTGCAAATAATTTCAATAAAATACTAAAATTATCTTCATAAATTCCATTTTTTACATAACTTTTATCCTCGCATAGGCTATAGTAAGAAATTAATACAAATCTATGTTCCATTTACTATTTTAATTCATTTCTACTAATTTAGATAACTCCAACACCTATAATATATCATATCAAAATGTTTACCTGTGTTTTGCATCCGCAATTAAAAAATAATTAACGTCTGAAAAAGCGGAAAGAGTGGCTCCGTTAAAGCTCCATTTCCCAAGGCAGAATAAAATTTAAATATTACCATTTTTTCATTTATTTTTAACGGTGAAAATAATGAGAATTTTTTCCTCGTCTACGTTTCAAACCGCAATCTTTTGTTGTTTAAACAATCTACATAATAAAACTTCGTGAAAAAGAAACTGAAAAGGATCGTAGAACTTCTATCAGTAAAGGAAAATATATACCTACCAAATTTCAATTATATCAAATTTTTCTAATTTTGATTAATTTTTTATTCTGGTTTAACGTTTCTCTTATCCCTTGTTAAAATTATGTCCTTCCTATAATGGAAAACAGATTCCCCACAAATTGAAGAGAGCATTATCTACGATCATCTATTTTCTTTTCTCGATGCCATGTTTTCCAATTTCAATAACTTAATCCCGACGATAAAGTATATGTATATATATACAATGATGTAGATAAATGTGTCGATAGTGGAAATCCATCGATAGTATTAGAGGAATCGATTATTCTCAATATCGATAGTGAAGAAAAGCAATAAAGTTACGTCGTTTGATAAAGTACTACGGATGAAATAGGGAAATTGATGTATATATATATATATATATATATATATATATATATATATATATTAGGGTGGTCCTTAAAATGGTCATTTTCGAATTTCCTTGCTCATCCCAGGGACTCAAATACCCAAAAAACATTTTTCGAAATTTTTCCATGCTATTTCCATACAAAACTTTGATTGAAGAGCGCACTATCTAAAAGACAATATTAAAAGTTAAAACTTATAGAGGATTTTTTGATGAATAAAACTGATTCATTTGTCGCTAAGTTATAGCTAAAACATTTTTTTAAATTTTCAAAAAAAATTCCATGCTCTTTCCATACAAAGTTGATTGAATTGCGCTCTATCTAAAGGTTAATATTAAGAGCTAAAACTTTCAGAGAATTGTTTTTTATCAATTTGGAACCAATTGAGCCCTTGGGAACAAGGAAATTCGAAAATGACCATTTTGATGTTGACATATGTATTAACAAAGTCTAATAATCGGGCATAACATCAATAAAAAACATAAATTTCTTTCAAAAATTTATTTTAAATCATACGTTTCGGCTATAATCCTAGCCTTCATTCAGTGGAAAATTACAAAAATGGAATATTACAAAATTTTACTGAAAGCCTACTATTTTTCTTTCCAAAAATTTTATATTTAATTTTTCGTTATTTCGTAGGTATGGGATTTCCTATTTCTTATCATTATTGAAACCAATTTTATTCACAATTCACTAAAAAATCTAATTGATAATATCCCGAGATACAGATTAATATTATTTAAATAAATGTACTGATAAATATTACAAACTTAATTTTATAATTCGATTCAATAATAATTTGTTTTAAAATAATTTACTAATTTGTAAAAAGATTTTACCTTCAAGATTACAAGAATATAGTAAGAATCTAGTGTGAACCTAACTAATATTCAGTCAGACTTTAATATGATTCTTATAAGAATTCAAAAACATTCAGGTCAATTGGGACAAAATTTATATTATAATGTGAAGTGCAAAAAATCCATTTTTCCAAGTCCATTCGTCGAATAAAAAAAAAAGTAAATATTGATGAAAAACACAATTTTAAAAGCAATATTTAGAAAAAAAGCTAGCTGGTTTGAAAAAATAATGGTGAAAGGTGGCTGAATATTATTTAACAAAAGCATAAATAGAGCAGAGACAATATTGATAATTTGTTACAAAAAAAAGATGAAATTTACCTAAAAGTAAAAGAAACTTCAAAGACAGTGCAGAATTTAAAACGGATAATGAAGTAAACAGGAAAAAACAGAGTTTGCATAATACAGATCTAATTTCAGCCTTGTATATATATATATATATATATATATATATATATATATAAACCCAAAAAAATAATAATATTCTTACCATGTCTGGCCTCTTCTCCTTGTGGTGCCTGCTGAGTCAAAGCCGACAGTTCCTCTTCTAAATCCACGTGGCATTTTGATGAGTCCCATGACAAAAAGCCTGAAAAAATAACGAAATACATTAGATATACATATAATAAATATATACGAAACCTGAAAAGAAAATAATATATTTAAAAAAAATCCAGGAGACTTCCAAAAAAATATTGCAAGCTTTTTGAAGCCAACGTAACTTGAAGAAATTGAAAATCGTGTTGATTATTTTTTATAAGAGCGAAAATTTCATTTTTAAAATGTAAGTTAAATTTTACCTAAATAGCTAAAAATCTCATAATTGATCATTGATATTAAGACAAAACGCCACTTACACCTATTTTATTTTATTTTTTCTATTTTACCATTGTCTTCAAGTTCGACGTCCACGCGCAGTTTCGTCTGCAGAATTCTGATTCATATCATTTATTATTATTTTAAAACAATGTCCTCTTCAAAAGGAAGATCATGGCATGTTGATGTTGATGTTGATGTACCATCAACTAAAACAATGCGATCATTTTCAAACTATTTTGCAACAGGCAAACTAATTGCAAGCCATTAATTTCGCCGACATCCGGGAAAGCGTGGGACTATCATTGTACGATGGATGCATTTTGTATGAGATATCTCTATTAAAAAATATCTCATACGAAAAAAATAAGTTGATAAGTGATACAGATAAGTAATTGGATATACACGAAATTAAATTTTGACATGTATCGATAAAATAATAATAAAAGTATTTCATCTTGTACATTATCTTTTCAATTGTTAAACTAAGAAGATCTCATTGGAGTTCTTCTTAGACATCGCTCTCAAATATTGTCAATTTAGCTTATAGGAATCCTTATGTATTTCTGATTGCTGAATAAAACAGAGTTAAAAAAAAAAAAAAAAATCTTTGCTCTTCGGACCCTATGCCAAAAACAAGAAGTTTAACTTGTCACTACCGTACCCACTACATAAGCCCAAGAAATTTTCCTTTTTCTTTAAAACAAAAGATTTTCCTTCAAAACAAATTTTAATTCAGGATTATATTAAAATTCCTGAAGCGTCCACTTCTTAACATAATGATTGTTTGATATTCCTTCGTTATTGCATTTATGTTTACTCGTCTTGTTTGCAGAGTTTTGGGAAAAAGGTTTAAAATCATTAAAAGTTCTTAAGGAGATAGCTTTGTTAGGCTGAAGTTTTAATATGAACGTCTTTTAATAATTTTTCAAGATTTTTTTAGAAGCTTGTCCTTAGTGGCGATTAATGAAAATGCTAAAAATCTTATCTATTATTATTATTTTTAATATAAAGCCAATGGTGATAAAATTATATTATTGTAATTACAGTGCAAATTAAAATCATACTTTGTTCCTAAGCATTCAATAATTTTGTTTTTAAATTAATATAAATAGTAAAAAAAATGTTTATTTCATCATGACCATTACAAAGTATTTAAAAGCAAGATTGTTGGCAAGAAATTAATTCCAAAAAGAATAAAGCCCAAGTGAATATTTTTTTAAAATTTATATTCATAATATATAAATAGTAAAACAAATTTGGAAGCAAGATTGTTAGCAAGAAATTAATTTCAAAAAGAATAAAGCCCAAGTGAATATTTTTTTAAATTTATATTCATAACACATAAATAGAAAAACATATTTGGAAGGACGATTGTTAGCAAGAAATTAATTCCAAAAAGAATAAAGCCCAAGTGAATATTTTTTTAAATTTAAATTCATAACATATAAATAGTAAAACATATTTGAAAGCAAGATTGTTAGCAAGAAATTAATTCCAAAAAGAACAAAGCCCAACTGAATATTTTTTTAAATTCATATTCGTAACATACAAATAGTAAAACATATTTGGAAGCAATATTGTTAGCAAGAAATTAATTCCAAAAAGAGTTAAGCCCAAGTCAATATTTTTTCAAAATTATATTCATAACATTTAAATAATAAAACGTATGTTTTATGATTGGATATTATATATTTTTCATGTAAGTATTATATATATGCTGTTATTTTTGCAACATAGTCCGAGGGCAAAATAATTATGCAATTAGTAACCACAACCGCAACATGAATTAATTAACAATTTATACGCAGTTATTTTTATGAACTTTTTTTTTGCCTTCGCATACATAATTTGCACATTTATCGTATTCAGTTGCATATCGTGAAAACTTTTTAAAATTTAGTCTTAGTACTACCCTAAAGGTTATATAACATTTTAAGGAAACATATTAGAATATGCAAACAATGTCATTTGTAATAGTATGACGTTGAGTTCTGGGACACCCTGTATATATTTTATAACTTATATGAAATGTTTGTTGTTATTTAATAGTAACAATAAAGCGCACTTTTCACTACAGATTATGATATTTGAGATCTATAACCTCAAGTGGAAATTTAATATCATACTGCTTGATATCAAGCTGCCTGACGTCGGGATCGAACCGGTTATTAGTTTTTCTAACTCACTTTTTTAACCATTCTTAATATTGAAATTTTTGTAATAAATTACAAAAATGATATCATACTGGAAATTTGATATCATACTGCTTGATATCGAGCTGTCCGAGGTTGGGTTCGAACCGGTGACTAGTTTCTGCTAACTCACATTTTGACCACGAAGGCCTCAAAACTGTTTTTTAACCTCTTAAATTAAATATTTTCATAATAAATTACATATATTTATATATTTATACTTACAATAATTAAAAGAAATTGCATCAAAATTTTCAAAAAAAAAAAAACAATTAAATGTCTGTTTTTTTAAACATTTCGAAACTGTTTTATTTTTCAAGTTTAAACTATACTGATTATGTAATAGGGTTTAAAAGCGGAAAAGTTAAAGTATGTTCATTTGAACAAGTTTCCATTGTTCAATCAAAAAGGATCCGAAATGGGAAAAGATGTAGTATGTTCATTTGAACAAGTTTCCATTGTTCAATCAAAAAGAATCCGAAAAGAGAAATATAAAGAATGTTTGTTTGAACAAGTTTACATTATTCAATCAGAAAGGGACCAAAGAGTGAAAGTTGCAGTATGTTTGTTCAAACAAGTTTCCATTGTTCAATCAGAAATGGCCCAAAGAGAGAAAAATGATGTATCTTTGTTCAAACAAGTTTCCATTTGAAAGAGAAAGGAAAAGGAAAAAGTAATACAGGAATAAACTAGTGGTGCATGGCATTATGCCTTAAGACAAATTTTTGGAACTTTCCGAAAAGTAATTAAACATTCAAGAAAAAACAAATTAATAACAATTGTTTAAAACAATTCAAATAATGTTAATAAATAAGCAATTGAAAAATAAATTTAGTAAATGCATACTGTAAATTTATAAGTGCTTATTAAATTGGGTGACAATGTTTTTTTGAAAATTCTGAAATAATTAAAAATTTAGATATTTTTTTAAAAAATTAGTAAATTTTTTTAAATCTTTAATACTTTTTGGAGATGTTTTACGAACCAAGAAAAAGTTTCTTCAAGTCCAAGACTCCGATTTGACAAATCTCACCACTTTATATTCTGTTTTCAGTGTTTTAAATTAGCATCGTCTCAAGTCCACATCCGCAAATAAGTAAACGTCATATTATACACTTTGTGTGTGTGTATTTCTGTGTTTTAGATTAATTGTAACTAGAAGTAATGTTCTGAGCAAATGTGAATATATGACAACACGTCTCGGAGAACCGTGATGAAAGATTACGAGAGAGATTATGGCGAGGATTGTTAAATGTACGAACATTATTAAATTAATGTCTGACAGTAGAATTCGTGAAATGAAACTTGCTTTTATTTAATACGTGTCTGGGTAATCAAGATTTGATAGTAGATTACTATCACAAGGAATAAATAAAAAAAATGACGAAAACTTTAACTTTGGGTTATATGTGTAGAGTAAATCTGAAATTTTCGTTTCCCAGGCGTTTTGCAAACAAAGGCGTTTTGTTTGCCCAGGAAGGAATATTTGAAGTACGAAAGCTTCGATATCAAGTTTCTGGGCTTTTAAACTGTCGACACAGCTTTCGGCAAGAAAATCAATTGTTCTGTGGAATATAAGCATTCGAAATAATAATAGAGCTGGGAGACCTAAGAAAAACTTAACACATTTTTCTATTTTGCTCTCAAAAATCCAAACTTGTAGATACATCTATGTTAGCTCTAAAGTATTCCCGAGTTTCGTTATTTAATATTACTGTAAATCACTAGTAATTTTAGATAAATTATAAATACATAGAATAGCGTTGTCATTGCAACAAGAAAGGAATAATGTTATGATAATTGCACCATCTAAAATTCTGTTATTCAAAGAACTTCAAAAGCGACTGAACATGCCCCCGTACTTGTTTTTTTGTAAAATACGCCTGATCGTACGGCAATTAGATAGACATTTTTATAATTTTCGACACCAACAACAAGAGCATAAGAGAGCGTTGTCATGATAAACATTATTTTATGAGCTTTGTTACGGCAGAATTGCCCCATTAATATATTTTTTATAAGGAAAATTACTCCTTTTTTAGAGTTAAATATACAATTAATTTTATACAAATTTTAGAAGAGTTATTTCACTCTGTCTATACAAATCTTATTCTCAATTGGAAATAAATATAAAAAGTGATTTTTATTACTATTCATAATATTTAGGTAATATTGTAAGTTTAGGTTATTCATTACATTAAACAAAATGAATTAAATGAGTAGAATTTCTCCCAGCTCTCTGTCTATTTTACCAAACGATTATAGCATTTTGTTCTCCGCATTGTCGAAACGAAAAAAAAAACAAATATCTCTGTATATGGCATCACTTATCGATATAAATGTTTGCAGAATAAATTCTGCTAAAAGGATTCTGTACAGGATTATTATTTGCCATCCGAATAATACGAAACAAATGAATTTGTAGAGAAAATACAATTCTGCGAAAAAAATTGAGAATTGAATTAGTACATGTGTTTGTATATTGATTTTAAATGTCTATACTAACAGTTAATTCGACTAAAGTTATATTAGTCCAATTAAAAATGCTCTTTTACATGATACTTATCTATCAATATAT